TAAAAAACTTCTCATCCATTGTTGAACCCTTAAATAGATTGCTGAAAAAGAACATATATTATGTTTGGGGAAAGGACTAACAAATAGCTTTTGAAAATTTAAAGTGATATCTTACTACACCTCCTATTCTCGCTTACCCTGATTTCACCAAACTATTTATTCTCTATACCGATGCCTCAACCTATGCTCTAGGTGCAATTCTCTCTTAAAAGGATGATGATAAAAAGAAACATGTTATCGCCTATGCTAGCAGGACCTTAAACAAACATGAACGCAATTATTCTATTACTGAACTTGAATGTCTAGTGGTTATTTGGGCTATAAAGTATTTTCATCATTACTTATACGGGTAAAAATTTACTGTGATCACGGACCACGCTGCTTTAATTTATCTTAAAAATATGACAAACCCAGTTGGAAAATTAGGACATTGGCTAATGACTTTAAACAGCTATAATATGGAAATAATCAACTGACCAGGAAAATTACATACAAATGTAGATACTTTAAGCCGAATACAACACTAAGGAAAAACCAATTCAGTTTATTAGGAAACATAATTTGCATTTACTGACACCTCTATTGATAACAGATTTTTGATTTTAACCTAACCATGAATTCGGACACATATTTTGGACTTATATAATACTTAACAGACTTCACCCTGCCAACCAACCTAAATGATAAATAACAAGCAGCGATCAAACGAAAAGCAAGGTTCTTTGTAGCCATAAATAGACAACTTTATAAACGAAATAAACAAGAACTACAATGACCTTTCAAAGTAATTCGAAAGTATGAAATTGAAAGTATTTTATACAATTTACATACTGACCCCTTAGCTAGACACTTTGCTCTTGATAAAACGTACAGAAGAGTAAAAATTAGATACTACTGGCCACAAATATTTGATAATATGTGACAGTATGTACAAACATGTGATACATATCAGCGAAGAGGTAAAAGTAAACATACTGAACCTCTACATCCAATTAAAGTAGGACAACCCTTTGATCGAGTAGGGATGGATATCATAGGACTTCTACCAATGACGACAAAAGGAAACAAATATATAGTAGTAGCGACCGACTATTTAACGAAATGGCCAGAAGCAAGAGCCATTCCTAATCAAAAAGCATCATCAGTAGTTTCATTCTTCTATAAGGATATAATATGTCGCCACAGATGCCCAAAAAAACTCTTAACCGATCGTGATACACACTTTGTTAATGATATGTTGAACACCCTTTGTGATGAATTAGGAGTGAAGCACAAATTATCTACAGCATACCATCCACAGACTAATGGCTTAGTCGAACATTACAACTGAACCTTGTGTAAGATATTAGCAAAATTTGCTAATGATAATAAGGATGATTAGGATAATTTTGTATCTTCTGCACTTTTTGCATACAGAACGAAATCACATGAAATAACACGACATAAACCTTTCTATCTTACATATGTACGTAATGTCACATTACCTATTGAATTTCAATCTGTTACACTCAATGCAATATTGCCTAATTCAAATAATACATCAGATAATCTACTCTAACGTGTACAACAAATAACTGGACAAATGAAGGATAATATGAAAGAAATACAAATAAAAATTGATATAGCACAACGAAAATATAAAGAACGCCATGATAGAAAATTATCAGTAGATTATAATTTCAAAATAGGACAATTGGTTTTGAAATATGAAAATAAAATTGAAGGCAAAAAGAAATTAAAAGAATGGTGGAATGGTCCTTATTACATACATGACGACCTTGAAAATGGAGTTTATAAATTAAGGACAATGGATTGAAAAATTCATAAGGTACTAATCAATGGCTCGAGATTGAAACCCTATCACCAAAAATCTTTGCCTGAACTATTTGTATAACTCTAACCGATATAAATAAGCTGATAAAATACCTACCTCTAAAAATAACGTAAAAATGGAAGACTGTGACTTCATTCTAACAGAAATAACCCCATATCAATTAATTTTGGAAGATCTACAAAAAGAAGGACTTGATGACAATATGACTTATTCACCTCCCTACACCAATGGAATGATCTTAGATGAAAAGTTCTCTATAATAACCAGAATGATGTTTAAAGCAAAAAGAGTGAACAACAAGACTCTCTTCCCAATTAATGCATTCTATTTAGGCAAATTTTTAGAAACATTAGATAATCTTACTACTCGTGCTGTTTACGTGAAAAAATTGACTCAACACTACTACCGCGCCTCAGTACGACTCTACTATCTTTATGAAATCTTGGGAATAACTCAACTCGCGAAATCTCATAATATTATCTTTAATCTACTCCTCAAAATAACTAAGTCTCAGCTCAATCAGTTAATCAATGAAGCAACTAACATTTTTACGAGGACGCAAAATGTAGGAGGAGAATGATGTTACCCTTGAATTAGATCTGCAAAATTGATCTACAGATGATCTACAGTCAATCAAATTAGTACTACAAAATCGATCATCAAATTAA